CCCCGCCCCCTCCCCCTCCTCCTCCTCATCTTCTTTTCCTGAGTATTGCAGTTCAAAGACAGCCTGAATAGCAAAAGGCCTTGAAACTCTTATCTCCAATTAACCACCACCAAAAAGCTAGAAATGAAGCTGGGGGGAGGGGGGGGGAATAAACTCCAAACACTGGGAGATAAACTGCCACCTATGGTAGTAACTAGAAACTTCTAACAAAGGAGACAGCTTGGCTTAGGCTGCTCATGGGATAAGGCCAAGAGAGAGTGCTCTTGGGGAGGAAAGGAGTGAAGGATAGAACAGCAGGCTGCTAATACCTGCTGCCCCTCAGCACAGCCCCACTAATCCCTCACCATATAGTATTGTTTGTTCCTTCTGTACACTGAACCTCCTTGGTGCAGGTTCTGAAATTTTCTATGCTAGGCAAACTCTTTACCCCAGGCCTGAGAAAACATTCTTTTTTTTTTTTTTTCTGCCAGTCATGGGGCTTGAACTCAAGGTCTGGGCACTGTCCCTGAGCTTTTTTTTCTCTCTCTCTCTCAAGGCTAGCACTCTACCACTTGAGCCACAGCACCACTTCCAGCTTTTTCTGTGTATGTGGTACTACCACTAAGCCACAGTCTCAGCCCGAGAAAACATTCTTGCCCAATGATTCTCTCCATTCAGAACTCACCTTCTGAAGTACTCAAAAAGGCCACTTCTGACTACTTCCCAACATGTCCTTTTGATATCCTTAGTTTCCTTGATGACACCTATTGCCATCTTACCTGTATCTAGTTGTTTGTGTCTATAATGTTTGTCTTTGCTACAGTATAATCTACAAGATGTTTTGCTCACTGTTGTATTTCCAACATCAAAATCAGTGCCTGGCACTCAACAAGCATTCAAAAAATATTTAGCAAAGAAACAAATATGTGTAAGAAAGAAAAGGCATTTGTCATATGCCATTCATATGCATATACCTGGAGTGCTACTAAAGGGACACAAAAAGCGAATGAAGCCCTGTTCCTGTGTCTCATGCCTGTAATCCTAGCTACTCAGGAAGCTGATAGCTGAGGATCAAATCTGTGAGACTCTGTTTAATTTTTATTTTTTGGTTGGTCATCAGGCTTAACCTCGGGGCCTGGGCAATGTCCCTGCACTCTTTAGCTCTAGGCTGGTGCTCTACTACTTTGAGCTACAACATCTCTACTGGTTTTCTGGTGGCTAATTGGAGATAAGATCTCATAGATTTTCCTGCTGAGACTTTCTTTGAAGGGTAATCCTCAGATCTCAGCCTCGTAGGTAGCTAGGATTACATGCGTGAGCTAACCAGTGTCCAGCTTCTGGACACCAATTAGCCACCAAAAAGCCAGAAGTATAAGTGTTGCTGAAGTGGTAGGACACCAGCCTAAAATAAAAAAAGCTGAGGATGGGGGGGGGGGCTGGGCACCAGTGGCTCATGCCTGTAATCCTAGCTACTCAGGAGGCTGAGATCTGAGGATAGCAATTCAAAGCCAGCCTGGGCACAAAAATACCTGCAAGATTCTTTCTTCAATTACCCACTCAAAAACCAGAAGTGGAACTATAGCTCAAAGTGGTAGAGTGCTAGCCTATAACAAAAGAGCTCAGGGACAGCCCCCAGGCCCTGAGTTCAAGCTCTACAGCCAACAAAAACAAAAGCAAAAAAAAAAAAAAGAAAAAGAAGAAGAAAAAAAATCTAGGAAACTTGGCTTTTCTCAGAAGAACTTGAGATGTTTACATCTGATCTCATACTTCAACCCCTGCACTATAAGGAGACCGTTCAGCTCTGTTGCTAATACTGCTCAGCCTTCTCCAAGGAACAATGCAAGTCCTTTTATCCTTCTCCTTCTCCTCTCTGTTCATGACCTGACTAAAGGCTTTACTTTTTTACTTCTGTTCTCCACCTAGTACTCTGAATTGACTGCTGGACCATGTTAGTTCCCAGAGCACTGAAAGGCCACGTAGAAACGGGAGGAGGACTGGAAGTCTGTCATTGATAGAAGGAACCATGATCACTGTTGCCTCCTGCCCATCCCTCAATTTTGGCATTTTAAAAACCCATTCTTCAGAATCTGGGCCCTCCAAAAATGACAAGCAAAGATGCCAGGGGCCTGGAGAAATCCTTGGCTGATCAAGGGTGTAGGGAAGGAGTTGGTGGGATTTATCTGGGAAGTTACCCAGCTGCCCCATCCCAACCCAGGAGGCTGTGTGCCATCCTGGTAATGTGCAAATGGCTTGGGGTCAATCCCAGTTTTGCTACTTACTAGTTACGTGGCCTTTTTGTACTTTGGGTTTTTCCTCATCTTTTAAATGGTCCTAGAAACTAGTATACTTACCTCGTTGGCTGGTTGATAGCCTTAAAGCAGTCAGTATTTGAAAACTACTTCTCACAGCTGCTAGTGCATATGTGCTGCTTATTTTTCTTGTTTCATGTTAAGACAGAGTAGACTGGGTGTCGAATCAGTGGGGACACAGTCTCAACTCCTGGCTGATCCTGAGAGATGGCATTTGATCCTTGCAAAGCAAATATTCAGCATGTTTTGTGCAATGACAATGACACCCAGCGCCCAGCCTAGGCATTCTGACCCAGCACCCAGCATCCAGCACCGAGGTGTCCTTGGGACCTTGCCTGGCAAAGACACTGACCTGGTGACTATTGATGGTCCAGAAGAGGTATCTGGCCATTTCAGGAGTGTTTCCCTCCATCTATTTATGGGAGCATTGGAATGGTACCTACCATCCTCTGGATAGCTCTGAGAAGAGTCCCTTGCAGGAGTGTTATCTTCCCCAGCTTCCCTCCTCTTAGCCTGGGTTTCTAGAGAATCTACAAGGGGGCTTGGCCCATGGTACCCAGGGGAGTGGCAGAAGAAGGGGGCTCAGAAGGGATCAGCAGAAGAAACAGGAGCTGATGTGTTTTCAGGGTTGGCCTAGCACTGGGCAGGCACTGTTGATAGGTGGAGTACCAGCTCTAAGGATTTGGTGGGTTTCAACTCTGGACCTATTACTGATCAACCCTGTGATTTGGGGTAAGTAACCTCGGCAGTTCCCAGTCTTGCTTCCCCATACCTGTGAAAGGGGGACCATGTTGGCTGCTCATGAGCTGGCTTCATGAACTTGAAATAAGACAATGTGCAGAAACTATTTGTGCACAGGTTCATTACACACAGTTCTGGTGCATACAGGCTGCTCCAAGATTTCACCAACTGCCCCTCAGGTTGCTGCCTGGACTACTTCTGTGGGCTTTCATAGTGCAAGCCCCCAGAAGCTGAGACCCATCTCTGTTTGCACAGAGCTGGGCCCCTTCTTTGAACTTTCCTTTCCTTTAGAACTTCAATTGCTAAGTTTGACCCCACCATCCCCAGGCTGTTTCTGGAAGTTTCTTCTGTGGTGGTTGTTGTTGCTTTACCCTCTGATCCCTTCAGGGAAACCTTCCCCCACCCCAAGACCTTTTGTACAGTTAAGAGCTAGAGCCAGGCTTTGTTGTTTGACAGCTGAGCAATATCCTTCAATGCTTGCCTTGGTGGGCTGCTTGGTATGGGCTAAGTCCTGCAGGGGGCTGGTTCTGAGGAAGAGACGGAGCCCCAAGGCTCCCACTCCCCAGGAATATTCCTGGAAAATGTTCAGAAAAGCAAAGCTAGACAATGAACGGTACAAACCAGGAGTGGTAATCAGTGCTAATGCTGCAGAGGAACAAGACTGTAGTATGGACTTGAGCTTAGTTCTCATTTGTGGAGGTGTCTTGGCCTTAGTATGGGTAGCAGTTAGTCATAGGTGGTGGGAAATGTAAGGGGAATTTGGGGGTGGGGGATGGGCTTTCAAGTTGGACTTTCAAGTGACCAGTCTATGGGGCCACCAAGGTCATAAAATGTCACAAGCTAGTTTTTTTGTTTTGTTTTGTTTTTGAGTGTACCACCCAGTTAAGGATAAATGATAGGCTTTATTCTGGACTAAGGGGACACGATAAATAGTCCTAAAGCAATAGATATTTAACTTACATACTTTGTCACCTTCTAGTCTTAGGTATCCTGCTAAATTCAGGGTCCCTGTAATTAGGCCATCTGACTTGCTGATGAGTAGTTAGCCTGGGCAGGAAAGTCTGGGAGACCATTATCTTCAATTAACCACCAAAAATCTGGAAGTGGAGCTGTGGCTCAAGTGGTAGAGCACTAGCCTTGAGCAAAAAAAAGCTCACAAAGAGAGCACCTAGGCCTTAAGTTCAAACCTTAGGAATAGCACACATTCGCACATACACACACACACACACACAAAGCAAGCTGGGTTGGGAGGTTAAAATAGGAGGATTGTAATCTGAGGCTAGTCAGGTCAAAAAATCAAGAGTTCTATCTGAAAAACAAAACAAGGTTTGGCAT